ACTATTCAATTAAATTCTAATTTGAAAAATCTTGAAAAAAAATTGATTTTTTTATTAATTTTAAATATTCGCTTAAAATTTATAGACTTTCTAAAGAAAATAAAGCCTATTTTAGTTCGAAAATTATATTTTTTTTTGAAAAAAACTAAAAAAAATCTTCACTTTTAATCAAACTTTTTTTTAAATCTAAAAATTTTAAATCGCGAATTATTTTTTCGTGTATTTTTTCTAAAATAGGTATATTTTCATCCAAATTTTATTAAAAATCAATATTTTCGAGTATTTCCTTTTAAAATTCTTAATTAATGAATACAGAAAATAGCAAATAGAAATATAATTCTATTAATTTTTATATATTAAGGAAAATATCTAATTAAAAATGTGGAATTTTTCTAATAATTAGTATATATTAATGAATATAATCTATTAATTTTAATGTACTTTTACATACTAAAAGATAATTATTATCTTAATATTATTAATTAAAATGTGGCATAAACTTAATATTATTAATAATTGTTCTATCCATATCAATTACAGAATCATCAGGTTATTTATTTAATACATATTTTAAATTCCTAAAAAAAAAAAATTAGATATTGATATATTATAATATATGTATATAAAATAATATTTATTTAATATATGTATGTATATATATATAATTTATTTTTACTTTTATTAATTGAAGTTATCATTAAAAAGTTAATTTTAAATATAAGATTTAACTTATATATAATTATTAGAAAAAATTTTTTATTTAAATTCTAAAAAAATATCTTTAAAACTTGGGTTTTAAAAACTTTTTGATTCTTAATTAATAATTTATATATATAAATTATTTAAAAAATCGTATTTTTATAGTCTATTCTATTTCCAATTTTCTTAAAAGCATTCTATTTTTAAATTCTAAATATTATTTCCTTATTAAATATATATTTTTTCTCTTATTTTATTATTAATTTCCTATATTATTTTTTCTTAAATTTCTTCTTTATTTGAAATTTCAAAACATAATAATATATGCAAAAATTATCCCATTTTTTTCAAAAAAATATCGATTTCTTCAAAATCAACCTCTATAAAATTAATTTTCTATATTTTTAAAAACAAAATATTCAAAATAAATCCATTTATACCTTTTTTATATTATTAAAGTTCAAAAACATCATTATAATGGCAAAAAAAAGCTAAGAAAAGTGATATTTTATGAATAAAAAAACCTAGGCTATTCACACTACTTTCCTTTTTTAAAAAGCTTCTGAAAAATTAATCACTAACAATTTCTTTTTTAACTAAAACAGCCATATAGTCATTATTAATTTCCAAAAAAACATTATTTTCTGCAAAAGAGACTATTTGCTAAATTTTTTTTTCAATAAATTCTTTTTAATTTTATACACAAGCCAAAAAATTATTTTTATTCTAATAAAAACTGCCTTTTTATAATATAACTTCTAAAAATTCCATAAAATGCATTAAATTATTTCCTTAAAAAAAATTAAATTTTGAAACTAATAAAATATTTTAATATTTTTTTTCGATTTTTTTCAAAAAACTCAAAGTCTTTTACAACCTTTTTTATCGCTTAAAATTACGCTATATTTTCCTTAAAACTTCCAGTCTTTTTTTTTAAATAAATCTAATTTTTCTCTGACAAAATATATTTTATTTAATGAATTTTCATTTAAAAATGCTATATCTTTGATTATTTCAGTTCCCAAACTTAATGTTTATCCATTTATTCGTTAATTTTCTCCTATTATTTCCATTATGTCATTATTATATTGCCTCAAATCTTCTAATCTGGCCACTAATTAGTCAAACTAAGCTAAATAATCTTCATGCTTAGTCTTTTATTTGCTTTATTTGCTCTGTTTAATTTCCATTTCTAACACATTAAGTTCATTTTCGTTTTAAAAATATTCTTAGTTTAATAAGTAAACCTTAATTTAGTTATCCCTATGAGATTAATTATCTAAATTTTCATCTTAATTCAAATTATCTTATTAAGAAAAGATTTAATTTTCCTATTATTATAATTCTAATTATTAAAAATCACTACTTTATTCTGAAATTTCTTCAATAATACTATTATTATTATTAAAACTTTTTTATAAAATTTAAGTTTTTTAGGAATATTTTGATTTAATATTTGACAATTTTCATCTTTTTTTTGAAAAATATATTAGAAAAACTACTAAATTATTTAGAAAATTAATCTTATAAATTATTTGCATATTATGTTGCTTTTTTTTGGTATTCTTTTTATTCTTCTTTATCAGGAAGTTTTATTGTAAACATTTTTTACTTTATTTTTTACATTATTTCCTAGTCTTTTATTTTTTAATAATATGAAGCTATGTTTTCATCTTTTTATTCATTATTAAACAAGTTTTCAGATTTTTTCTTGGCAATATAATCATAAAGGTTTCCTTCTAAATTTTATAATTTTTTATTTAATTAAGAAAACATGTATTTATGATATATAAAATAAATAATAAATAATAATTTTATATTTAAAATATATATAATTAATTTATATACATATTTAATATTGAATAAAAGTATTTTTATTATATAATTTTAAAATGAAAAACAATCTATATTTATATTATAAATAAAAAAAATTATATATTTTTATTTTAATAAATTTAATATATATAATATATAATTTTTTTTTATATATTATTTATTAATTTATATATTAGTATTTTTTTTAACATACTATAATATAAATAATTTTATTATATATATATTTATATTTACATACGCATATTTAAAAATAAATTAACTAATTCTAATAACGCTAATAACAAAATATTATTTATTTTTTTAAACAATAGAATATTATTCTTTATATTAATTGGATATTATTAAATATATTTTATTTTTAAATTATATATTTAAAAATAAAATTGCGGGAAATTAATTTAAAATAAAAAATAGGGTGACTGCTATTTATTATAGAAAAAAATTTAAAATTAAAAAATAGGAGGTTGCTAATCTTTATTTAAAATAATAAATAAGATAATCAAATTTCTTATATTTAATTTAAAATAGCAATAATTTAATAATATATTTTAAACAAAAAAATATAAAATAGCCTATAAAATTTAATAAATACCAAAGTTAAAAAGATATAAATGAACTCAAAATTAAATTATAAATGTAAAAAAAAAATTAATTTAAATATATTTTAAAATTACTTTACATTTTAAATAATATATGTTATTTTTTATCTATATATAACATAAATATCATAATTATTTTATGTAAAAAATTGTAAAACACTTTTTTAAAATATTAAAATTTATATTTTTTTCATATATTTTATTTATAAAATAATTTATTTTTATATGTTTTATCTTTTTTATAAATTTAACTAAAGAAATAGAGCCTTAATTATATTTTAAAGAAAAAAGTACTTAAAGAAACACTATTATAAATATATAATAAGAAAACGAATAAAAAAAAATAGTTAAGCTTTTTAAAACGATTAATAAGTTGTCCGCCTTAATAATTTCTAAATGTAAAAAATAAAAAAATATATATATTTTACTCTATTTTAAAATAATAATTAGTATGCACCGCGAAAAAAAATTAAAAATAAAAAAAATTAATTTTTCTTAATAAAATTATTAATAAGCTATTATTACATATTAAAAATAAGATAATAATAAAAAATAAATAAAATTACTAATTTAATTTTCAGACTAACCATTAATTTAATAATTAAATTAGAAAGAAATATTAAATAATAAATATTAATAAAAAATAAAACAAAAAAATAAATAAATCTTAAAATTAAATTATTATAATAGTTTATGCTTAGGAATTAATAATAAATTATATAATAATTTTGATTATAGTTAATGTATATCTCCTTAATTTTCTAATTAAGAATAATATGACTCTGGAAAAGAAATCGATTAAAATTTTAATAAATAAAATAACACATAATAATTAAATAATAGTAAAAAACTTGAAAATAATGCCATAAATATAAATCATAAAAAATGAATAACTTAAAATATTTATAAATTTATTATTACTAAAATATTATTTAAAATTTATTTACTAAAATATATTCATAATATTATATTACAAAATTTTTTAAAAATATAATATTTATTTAAAAGGAAATAATATACATTTTACATAAAAAGCTTTTTTTTGAATAACTTTAATTTCATAAACTTATTAATACAATACAGCTTTAGAAGCTGAATATATGTTAAATATATTTTTTAAATAAAAATAAGTTAAATATATATATATATATATATATATATATATATATATATATATATATATATGTATATATTATTAAAATATATTTTATGTAAATAATTTAAAATTAAATTTAATTATATAGATATATTAAAAATAAATTGAAATCTAAAAAAAGACATATTTTATATAAAAAAATAATACAATATTTTATTTCTTCTTTATAAAAATTATTAATTTATTTAATCTTTATTAAGTAAAAATATTTAATTAAAATATAAATTAGATATATTGTTTAAACTATTTTTAGTTAATTTTCATATATAATTATAAATTAGTAAATTAATATAATTATATATAAATATAATTAGAATATTATCATATAATAATAATATTTAATATTATATAATATTTAATTATTTTATTTATACATATAATTTTTATAATACTATTAATTCATATATAAATATAAATTAAACTTTTTGAAATAAATCTTAAAATTTTTTAATTACGTTAAAAGATTATTATTGTTTAATAATTCATAATCTTTTCATTTCTAATCATAAAAAAAAGTAAAAATATTAAAAATACATAATCATATTATACTTTTTTATGCTATTATAACCAAAAAAATATTAATAAAATTAATATAAAGAAATAAAAAAAAATATATAATATTAATATTTATATATTTATAAAAGTACATAATAAAAAGACTTGAATATTAATTAAAATATATATAAAAATATAATTATTACAAAAAAAATATGTTCAATTATTTGTTAAGTTATATAAAATACCCTCAAAACCCCCCTTAATACGAGCAAAAAATATTTTCTTACCAAAATGCCTTTTCCGATTTCGTAATAGTAGACGAAGAAGATTTCATTTAATTACCTAAAATTCTCTCAAAATCCGATTGGGAGTAAATAATAAAAGATGATTCATTAAAAAATTTCAAAGAGGATGACATATATTATTCTTTATTAAAAGGAATTCCATTCGTTATCCGAAAAGACGTTTGGTTAGTGTTATGTGAAATAAATAAATTAAAATAAAAGCATGCACAATTTAATTATAAAAAAGAATGTGAAAAAGAGTCCATATACGACAAATAAATTTTAAAAGATGTTCCTCGAACATATAGTGATTTCTAGTATTTTTTTAACGAAAAAAACGAAGGATAAACTAGGCTTTATCGAATTTTAAAAGCCTATGCGTTTTTCGATCCTGAAGTTGGTTATGTTTAAGGAATGAATTTTATTGTGGCAAGCCTTTTAATACATATGAACCCTGAAAATGAAAAGGAAATTAAAGATGTGTATATTATTAATAGCTCTTATGAGGAAAATATTTTCTGGATGTTAGTTTCTATAATGTAGAATAAAAATTTAAGAATTTTATTTGTTAAAAATATGGAAGGGATTTACGGTTATATAGAAAATTTGGAAAATATATTAAAATGTAAAGTTAAGGAGGTCTATGAGCATATAAAGGAAATAGGTTTAGATGTTTTTACATGCTTTAATTAATATTATTTTACAATTTTAATGTATAATGCACCGAAAACGTTTTAAAAAAGAGTTTTAGATTTATTTTTGTTTAAAGGAAAAATTATATTAGAATAAATTATAGTTAAAATGCTAAAAATTTGTGAAGAATAAATATTGTAAATATAGGAAATGGAAGAATTAAATAACTTTTTTAAAAAAGGCATAATGGAGTATTGTGAAAAAGAATTTAAAAAATAAAAAAAGTTAAATATAAATTAAATTTAAGATCTCCTTTTATATAATAGTTAAACATATTAATATTTTTGATATTTATTTTCTCAAAAGTTATATACATTGTATATTATAAATAAAATATATAGGTATTTTTTATTAAAAAAAAATAATAACTTTTAATAATATATATATATATAAATTTATATATATATAAATATATATATATATATATATATATATATATATATATATATATATTTATCTTATTCAATATATAATATAAATTTTCTTTTTTTTTTATATTTTATTAATATTTATATACACATTTTTTATTTTTGATAATTTTTTTTTAATAAATTTTTTAACATTTTTTTTTTATTTTATTATTTTTTATATATTTTAATTTTTTTTTATTTTATATATATTTTTTTTTTATAAAATTAAGTATTCTTTTCTATAATTTTTATATAAATAAATATTTTTTACAAATATAAAAATGTCATAATTTAACTATTTTTAGTAATAAAACTCCCACTTATAAGATATCCCAAATAACTAGATTTATAATTTTAATAAATAAAATAATGACAAATTAAACATTAAAGTTTAAAATAATTTAATACTAAATAATACAATTGAATAAAAAAATATTCACGAATAAAATTAAAATAAAACTTAATAAATTAATGATAAAAACTTATCTTCTAAAGGGCAGAAATTATTTTAATTAATGAAATAATTATAGAATTATAAAAATTAATAAAATTATATTAATTATGTTTCTCCAGAAGAAACGAGTACAATAGCAAAAAATGAAGATATTTTAGTTTACGATATAATTAAAGAAGAAGATGAAATCAAAGAATAATCTACATAATTTTATGATAATTAATAATAATATTAAATATAATAAAAACATTAATAGTTGATAGAAAAATAATATTAAGAATAGTAACAATTATTTCCATAATAACGAAAATAAGAAGAATTTTAAGAATAGGAATATAATTAAAAATGTTAAATCAAATAAAATATTTAATCTAAAATTTAAAATTCATAATAAAATATTGATGAATAAATTTTAAATTATGAATAAAAAGAAAATCAGAAAATTAAATATTAAACTTAAAAAGAAGATATAAATTAATATAAAATAGATATATAAAATTAATTATTTAAAAGTAAATAAAGCAATTTTATTTCTAACAGAGTAAAAAATGAGAATAATATTTTATAAAAATAAATGCACTAATAATAATCATAAGAATATATATAATATTAAACATAAAAATAAAACTTTGTAAATGAATATGATTAATAATAATATTCAGAAAATAATTAAAAATAATAATAAGATTAAATTATTTTAGGATAAAATTTATAATAATTAAGTTAAAAAAATATAAATAGAGAAGTTGATAATCAAATAGAAATAAGAAAATAACCAAAAGAATAATAATTTTTAAAATATAAAAGTGAGCAAAGTCATTATAAAAATTTAAAAAAATATTAAATAAATAAAAATAAATTAATAAAAAGGTGAATATAAATAATATATTAATAATATATAATTACCTAAAAATGAAATATATTAATAAATAAATAAAGAAAAACTATAAAAAAATGAATTATATATTAAAAAAAATAATATAAAATAAAGAAATGAAACGTGCATATAATATAATGATGAAATAGAATATCAAACTGCAAAATAAACAGATAAAACTTTATATTCGCATTTAGATGAGTTAAATAAAGACGAAAAAATTAAAAAAAAGCACGAAATTTTAAGTATAAAATAATAGAAATAAATGCTTGAAGAAAAAATAAAAAGATTAAACATTAAACAAAAAAATTCCAAAAAGAAAATACAAATTTATTTATAGATAATGAAAAAAAAAAAATTTTTGATTAATTTAATAAAAACAACTATTTAGTATAACAAGTTAGTGAATTAGATAAATAAATTATTATTAATTAATATATTAATAGTTTAAATCCAATTGATTTAACAAAAAATTAAATTAATATATGTTCTAAAATATCTAATTTTTCATCTAAAAAAAAATAATAATGCTAGTAGTATCCGAAAAGCAATAGATAAGTATTTAGACTATAATAATATGTATACTTAAAATACAGATACATTTACAAATTAAGTATTAAATTCATAAGATAGTTTTAGAAATTTTTAAAAGAGTATTTTATACAAAAGGACATTTACTTAAAATTGATTTATTAGTATAAGAATAAAAAATAAATGATAATTTAAAAATATTTTTATATATTTATAAAAATATAGTTTTAAGATTTATATCAAAAATATAAAACTTATAAAAAAGTTTTATATATTGAAATATTTTTTAATAAATATATATAAAATTCATTTAATTTTTATTTTTTTAAAAAAATATTTCATAAATACTCTTATATATTTAAAAGAATTTATTTATTACATTAAGCTAAAAACTAATTTTTTGTTTAATTTTTGTGAGCAAAAAGCATATTTATTATATACATTTGACATTCTTTTATAAAATTAAATATAAATATTATTTTCAAATTACTTTATCTACAATTTAGATAAACCTACTTAATATATTATTTGAAAGGTCCTTCAATAAAACATTAGTCGTAAATGGATTTGTTTTAATTATCTTTTAATAGGCCATTAGCTCCATTTTATATAAGAAAATCAATTAAAAATGTATATTCTCTTGAATTTACTTAACAATAAAAAATTGCTAACATTAAAGGTGTTTATCCATTCTTTATTAATTTATTTTATATTTATTTAAAAAAAATTAAATTACTTTATTTATGTCATTAATTAAATATTTGTATCCATTATCTATTAAATGTTTCACTAATTGAAATCTATGATTTAAGCATGCCATATGTAGAATAGAATTTTTATCACTCTTTTTTTTTCTCATTAATTTAAATATTTTTTTTTTTTACGTCTATATTTTTAGATTCATTTACATAATCAAAATCTGGAAATTAAGTATTTAACTATTATTTGGCTCTTTCAAAATTTTCTATATTTCCTGAAGATATTGCCAATCTTAGTAATTTGAACTTATAATTATTAAAAACAAATACACTTTTTAAAAAAATACTTGTTAATTTTTAGCAAAATCTGTCATTTATTATTAACTTTGTTAAAACTATTCCCTCATTTATCTTGCAGTAATAGAAATTTAATTATTTATATTCATTTTTTTATTCTAAAATAATATGGTATAGAAGCGAATATATTATATATTTTTTAATAAATAATATTTATAAAAATTAAAAAATATATTTATTTATAAACAATAAAATTGAAAAAGTATGTTTTTATAAAAATAGAATGTTTTCTTTTATATTTATATCAAAGTTTTTTGTATTACTATATATTAAAAAAAAATTATAATTATTAATCAAAAAAAATGTTTAATAAATATTAAAAATTTTCTAACAATAATAATATTAATAAAATAAATTTTACTCATGACTTTTTTTATGTTTTTTAATTTTTATAAATAAATTAATTAAAAAAAGGCCGTTATTAATTTTTCTTGTTTTTTTATTAGTATATTATTTTCTTATAAGAAATTAATCCAATATTTTTTATTATTGCTTAACAATTTATTTAAATTATAAAAAATAATATTTATTTTTATAAATAGAAATAAATTTAAATATTATTATTTTTTTTATAATTATCAATACAAATTAATGTGTATTAATTAATTAATATTTAATCATAAAAAAATAGTAAATTTAGTTTAATAAGTAAATGAATTAAATAAAATATTTAATGTGAATTAATATAAAATTTAAATACATTTTTCGAGGAAAAACATAATAGAATTTATATTTAAATAAATCAATTATATATCTTTTTTAAAAATAAAATTAAAAAAAATGATATAAATTTGTAATATTATAAATGATAAAAAAATAATTTTCGTTAAGAAATCCGAAGAAAGAAAATATTGAAAATTATAAAATAAAAATAGTAGAAACATTTGATAAATTAAGATATAAATATAAATTAAGTTTTTTAGAATAATGAGAATATAGATGAAATAATTCAATATTATATTGATGAAATTAAAAAAATTAAAATTAAAACATTGAATAAGCTTATTAACAATTATAATAATTAAATTATTACGTCTCAATAAGTTAAGTTGAGTATTCTATTTTAAGTTTAAAATAATTAATTAGCTTAATTTAAAACGAAAATATTTAATTTCTTAATATTGTATATTAAATATTAACAAATGTAATAAAATAATATTAGTAATTTCCGTATATTGATTTAATCATTGAAAAACTAAGGTTTTAAATATAATAAATGAATTATTTTATTAACTTCTACATGTATAAAAAAGTAAAATAGAATATGATTTTTTAAAAAATAAAGACGACTTTGAATTTTTAGAATTTTTTTTTATGTTTTTAAGCAATGTTTTAGCAGAAGACAAGAATAAAATTGTAATAAATTTTTTATTAATTAATAATACTTTTGTTAAATTATTATAAAATTAATATTTAAATATATAAATAATTTATTAAATAATAAATATTTTTAATAATTTGATATGCTAAGATGTATTATTAGATTAATTGACTCTGCTTTTTTATTAATTTTTCTTAAATTAATTTGAAAAAATATAATTTTAAAATGATTATTTTAAAGATTTAATTTTAAAATTATTATTTAAGGTTATTGACGATTTGGACAATTAATAAATGTAAGAATTTATAACAGAAAACTTTGAAATATTAATAATTTTAAACTGTAAAATTTAATATTTTAATTCATATTTTTTATAATTAAAATAAAAAAAGATTAAGAAACTAATAAATAATTTATTTTTATTATTTTAAGTATTTTTAATAGTATTTTAGAAAGAAAAATTCAATTCAATATTTTGATTGAAAAGGGAATATTTAATAAAATATTCAGTATTATTAGCCAATTTAATAATTTGGACTTAATATAATTATGCTTTTAATGTTTAAATTATATAATAAAACAAGACTATGAATATGTTTTCAGAAATACAATTTTAAACTAAAAAATATATTCGAAACTA